ATTTCTTGAAAATGCAAATGGTATCTTTTTTGATAAAGTGATAAACCATTAGCCAGAGTGATCAGGAAAAGAAGAAAAAAGAAGTTACCAATATTAGGAGATAGATGCTATGGCATTAAAAGGTTAATAGTAATTATTAAGAAAAATGTTACACTGATATATTGAACAGGGATGAAATGGAAAAATTCCTTAAAAAATCTCATATGTCAAAACTTACTTAATAATCAATAGCCTGAATAGCTGTATTAAAGAAATCAAATCAAGGGGAGTGCCTGTGGCTCAAAGGAGTAGAGCGCCAGCCCCATATACCAGAGGAGGTGGGTTTAAACCCAGCCCTGGCAAAAAAAAAAAAAGAAAGAAATCAAATCAAACTTTAAAATTTCCCACAAATAGAAAACAGAAAGTAAAAGGGAAAAAAAAGAAAGAAGAAAAACAGAATAAAATCCAGCCCCAGATGGCTTCATTGATTAATTTGACCCAACAATTAAAAAGAAAAAATATCATTTCTACATAAACTTTTTTCAGAAAATAAAAGAGCAGGATAGAGGTCTCAACTCATCTTAAGAAGCCTGCATTACCCTGACACCAAAGCCAGACACAAATTTTATAAGAAAATTATAAAATGCCTCACTAATTTAGATGCAAAAATTGTCAACAAAAATTTAACAAATAGAATCCAGCAGTTTATAAGGACAACACACCATGACCAAACAGCCGTGCAATGCAAGGTTGGCTTAACATCTGAAAATTAGTCTGTATAACTCCCTGAAGCCTGGACTCCAGGTTTCAGGATCCCAGCTGCAGACCAGATTCAGGTTGGCTCAAATATTTCTTACCCTCATTAGACTACTGGCTATCTGGGGTATGTTCTTTTCATGGAGAATGGCAAGAGCTCAACAGCTGACAAGCCAGGCCACAAAACACAGTGTAAGCTGGTCATCTGTCTATCATCGCCAGAGAAGTTTCTGTTCAAGTTTCCTACTCACTTGTAAATGGGATTGTTTACTCTTCTCTTGTTGATTAATTTGAGTTCTCTGCAGATTCTAGTTATCAGGCCTTTGTAACACGCAAAATCGAAGGGGGGGAGGGCATTGGTGTGAGGAGGAAGGGCAATTCCTCCCCATGGCATCCCGTGAGGATGTCACCTCATGGGCACAGTGTGAGGGTGCTCAGTGTGAGGGTGCTCACACCCCTTGGGGGAAGGACTCAACTACAACTTGAACTTTACCTTAGAAGTGAGAACAATGTAACCTAAAAGTTTGTACCCTCATATTAATTTGAAATTTTAAAAAACTGCAGTATAAGGCTCTGTTCGCCTCCTGTCCATGGCTACTCATCAAGGAGGCTGACAAATATACTTTTTCACCCAAAGTAGTGGAGAAAAGAATTCACAGAACAATAACATCAATAATAATAATTATTATCACAAATTATTAGCATAATAATATCATCCATTAATGTCCAGAAGAATTTTTGTAAGGCATTATGGCAAAGTGCCAAGCATTTAGGAGAACTAGGGAATGGGGTTGGGAGGGTGTAAATAGAAACTAATCTTCATGAACTAAGAAGACTACAGAACACCTAACCAGGAAAATGAGTTCAACAAATCAATGCCAGGAGACGAACTAAAACCCTAGAAATTGGCAAATGGAAAGGGTAATCCTTTTTTAAGAAATGGGAGATTCCTAACTATCTTCATCGTCAACTCCAAAAATTACATAATTGTCTGATGCATAATATGCCTGCCTTTATTGGTAATAGTCATCCTCCTCCTCTTCCTCCTCCTCACCATCTTCATTATCACATTATAGTAAACTGGAGGAGGTAATAGTCATCATCCTCCTCTTCCTCCTCCTCATCATCTTCATTATCACATTATAGTAAACTAATCTGAACTACTTTCTTCTAGAATGCACTGCTTGAGTTTTATCTGACATTTTTCTGCCCACTAATATAATCTTATGAGATTTTCCCACCATTTATGCCTTTATCTGAAGCACTTTTCCATACATGAAAAATTAAATCACTTTCAAGCATGCAGTCTTGCCATGTAAACCTAAAATACCCTAACGCCATGTTCTTCAACCTTTCTCATCTCATGGCACACTTGAACTTATAGTTAAACTTCCATGGTACATTTAAATTATGTTGATCAAAAAAAAAAAAGAATATATTTACTGTGCTTTGAACTTCCTTCAAAAGTAATTTAATTAATGATCCTTAAAAATTTTCGTGACATATGTAAGATCCTCCCATGGCACACCAGGTGAAAAATCACTGCTTCAGTGAATAGCAGTTACCGATCATCATCAATTCATTGTTTTATGCATAGCCCAATTTTGAAATATCAAAAATAAAACTGCCTTCCTATTCTAGGAATAAAATTTTATTCAGTTTGCTAATTTGTTCTAACATGTACTTTACCATATGCTTGTCATTTTATTTTCTAATGTTTCCTTACAAGCCCACGTATACTCAGTATTATTCCTAGTGTACAGATGAAAGAAAACATTCAGAGAAGTTAAGCAGTCTGCCCATGATAAGAGGAAAACCCTGAGATGGAATCCAGATAGTTCTATCTCTAGAACTTATCAACAGTCTTTTCACACCATGTTCTGCTTCTGAAATCTAGAAAATCAATCCAAACTTACAGACTACTTGAAGAAGTACAAATTAGAACTACAACTTGGGAAATCAAATTTTCACAAATAAGCCTTCTGTAATTCTTGCACATATTTCTGTCCTCATTCCTAAACCATCCATTATTCTGAGTGTGCTGGGTCATGCCCAGCAGCATACTAAACTGCAGTGAAACCTTCTATCTAGTTATCTACAGCTGACTCCAATTCTTCTCCTCCTATTCTCCACTCAAGGTTTTCTAAACAAGGTTTTATTTCTATCAAGTCACTGAGACAGCTCTTTGTAAAGGTAACCAATGACCTCCATATTGTGAAATACAAAAGTTCATTCTCAGTCCTCATCTAATCTGATCAATCACCAGCATATGACTTAATTAATGACTCCCTATTTCTTTCTTCTTCTTTTTTTTTAATTTGGCATTCAGTGTCTCTCTCTTGCTCCTGATTCTCAGCCTGCCTTACTAAAAATTCCATTTCAGCCTCTTTTGCTGGTTCCTCTTCATCTTCCTGACCCTAAAGGTCAAGGTGCCCAGGGTTCAATCTTCAGATCTCATCTCTTTTCTAGCAACAGATACCTCAGGGAATCACAAGTAGAATCATGACTTTAAATATTATCCCAAAGTTGTATCTCTAGCTCAACCTATAGACTCAAGCTCTCCATTTTAATGTTTAAGTGTCATCTCAATTTAATGTCTAAAATCTAACCTTTGCTTTCCACCACCACCACCCCCAACTGCTTTTCCCAGTGTTTTCTCAATCTAATTAATGATGCCCATCATGAAGCTATTTCTGCCAAGAATCTTCAGTTATCTTCATTTCTTCTCTAATATCCCATGTCCAATAACATTAGCAAATCATGTCATCTCTTCCTTCAAAACACATCCAGAATCTGCCCAAACTTCATGATCTTCTTGCTACCATTCTAACCCAAGCTATCATCATCTCTCAAATTTGTGAGGAGACTTGGTCCAGATCAGCACCTAAAGAAAGCAAAGCTCTTAATGCAAAGCTCTTAATCATTTCCCATTTTTGTAGGTAAGGGCTAGGAATACCATTCCCTCCATAGATCATTACCTCAAAAAGGAGGAACAAGGTAACACAAATTGAGCCAAGAAAGTGAATGCTTTATCCTGTATTTACTTAAGTCTTTCATGATAAGAAATAGAAGAAGACAGCAGGGGAAATTCTTGAGGCATCTTCATTCAGAGATTCAGAGAAGCAGCCACAGCCATGACTGTGTGGTACATACTGAGCTGTGGCATCTATTACAAGGCATATTTAGGAGCCCTTGAAGACCAAACAGACTCTACACTGAATTAAATAAAGGAGAACCCTATCACCTGGCCTAGCTGGCAGTATGGTTTGCATATTTGTCCCCTCTAAAACTCACTTTGAAATTCAGTTGCCATTGTAACAGTGTTGAAAGATGGAACATTTAAAAGTCATTGGGACTTGAGGGCTCTGCCCCCCGGGTAGGATCACTGCCATTGTAAGAAAGCAAGTTCTTCACGTGGCCCTTCCACCACAGATGATAAAGCAAGATGGCCTTCATCAGATGTTGGCAGCTTGATATTGGACTTCCCAGACTCCAGGACTATGAGCAAATAAATTTCTGTGGTATTTTTATAACAGCACAAAATAGACTAAGACAGCTGGCATCTCAACATTTAGGAAACCCATAAGAAATTTTCTCTTTATCAAATAAAGTGATTGTGACATCATCCTCTACAGGTTAGTTAAATAATCTGATCTTGGGCAAATCACCAGACAGATTGAAATATACAATAAATGAAGAAATCTTACAGATCAACAATGACATTTCTTTTAGTAGTAAAGTTAGTTTAGATAGCAGATTTTTTAAAAGTCTAGAATTCAAACTTTCCTAACAATGTGTAAGGCAGATTCCCTCTGAAATATTTACAAGGACAGCTTCTCATAAAATACCCCTAGTGCCAATGCCACAAACACAAAAGTAGAGAAATAGGCAGATCATTATCTTAATCCAGTATGATATTCCAACAGCCAAAATGCAGTAAAAGCACACTACTCTTGGTTCAAAAGACTAACATGGTTAGTTTTACCATTAAATGTGAAACTATGAATAGGAAGAGCATCAAGAATTCTTACAGCTATAAAATTACATGATTCTATGATTTATTTGCTAACTACATACTATGTTTCAGACACTATCAGTTGCCATAAGGGATATACATAATTGCAAATAGTGTACTATATTTGTATAATTGCAAAGGTACTAAAATTCTTATTCTAGAATTGAAATGAATGGATGACTACCTAAATATTCCTTTACCTTCATTAGGCACAATGAAAATTTCCTGCAAAAGCAAATTAAGTATGTACCTTTCAGTGCTGTAGTCTTTTCTTTTTCATCTGGACCTCCCTGCTGGATTTGTGCCATGTTTATCCAAATTGGCAACAAAATTAAAGAGCTCAAGGAAATAGACATCAATCTTCAGAAGACAGTCTAGAATGAATGAAAGCAATAAATTAAGCTCTACTCAAAACCTACCTACTCTGTAAAACTTCCTAGATCACGGGAATTAATCTCTCTATCCTGATTTCTCACTACACTTCGTTTACACCTATGCCACAGTATTTATCATTTCCTGCTCGGTATTATAATTATTTATGTATTTACCTGGGTTGGCTAACAGCTAACAAGCCTCAGGAATAGAGGTAATCAAGTTTTCATTATCTTTATATCTGTCATGTTGCCAACACAATATTTTACACATACACAACTAATGCTTGCTGAACTGAATTTAGACAAACTTACTGCTTAGTTTTAGTTCCTTATCACTTAATGTTTTAAAAAAAATATCTTTGGGTAGTTCCAAAAACTTGAGATTTCTTTTAAAATGAAATGTAAGCTTATGTCTTTTATAAATTCAGAATGTCTTCCTCTGGAATATTCAGACAGTTAGAAAGAGAAAAATACATTAATACATAGAGTATCTACAAATTACCAATACTATAATTAAAAATACAACTTTAAGGCCAGGCACAGTAGCTCACACCTGTAATCCGAGCACTTTGGTAGGCTGAGGTGAGTGGATTACTTGAGCTCAGCTGTTTGAGACCAGCCTGAGCAAGAGCAAGACCCTGTCTCTACTAAAAATAGCCAGGTATTGTGGTGGGCCCCTATAGTCCCAGGTACTCAGGAGACTGAGGCATGAAGATCACTTGAGCCCAAGAGTTTGAGGTTGCTGTGAGCTATGACACCAGGATATCCTACTGAGGGCAACAAAGTGAGACTCCGTCTTAAAAAAAAAAAAAAAATACAACTTTGGAGAAAAAAATTATCCCTTTTTAAAAGGAAAATCAGTCAAATTCAATATCTGAAACCCATACTCTATAAATGCCACTCTAGGTAAGCAACCATAATATAAAATTATGATTTATTAAAATCTAATCTTATTCTGATTTGTCCAAAGGGAAGGCATTAAAACTAGAAGTCGATGGCTTTTTCCAGTGTACCCATGAACTACTGTTCATGGGCAAATCACTATTCCAAAAGTTCAGAAGGAAAAATATGCAACACATGAAATGGAAAAATTTAAACTAATTTAGTCAATTAGTCTATAACAGTTAATGAAAATATGCAAAAACTACATTCATGATAATAGTGAAACAAGACTGAAATACTCCCGATTGAGGAACCCAAATAATTTGTTACCCACAAAGTAAAATTCAGTTTCTATTCGGAAGTACATTTTATAATTATCTTTAAAAATGCCGGCATTTTCATAATCATCAGCGTACAGGAGAAAATACTTAAAAAAAAAATAAATGTTAGGTCAAGGCGGGTAGATGGCCTGAGCTCAGGAGTTCAAGACCAGCCTGAGCCAAGTGAGATCCCGTCTCTAAAAATAGCCAGGTGGTGTGTTGAGCGCCTACAGTCCCAGCTACTTGGGAGGCTGAGGCAAGAGAATCGCTTCAGCCCAAGAATTAGAGGTTGCTAGGAGCTAAAGACTCCATGGCACTCTACCAAGGGTGACTAAGTGAGACCCTGTCTCAAAAAAATAAATAAATATAGTAAATTAAAATAAAAATAATATAATAATGTTGAAAAGAAACATTTTAAAACTATAAATGTTCCAAATGGTCATAACCAATTCTGCCCTTACTCAACTCTAGCTGCAAGTGATGTGATATAAGATAAAGGACCCTCTTCACTGCACCTCATTTTCCACATTTGTAAAATGGACATGATAATCATGCTTCCTTCATAATGTAACATAGAGTTAAATGTAAAATATTTGATACACATATAGGATACGTGTATAGCATAGGTAGAAAAACATATAGATCAGTCCTTGATCCATAATTAAGTATTCAACATATAAATCAGTTTATATTGTTGCAAATGAATCATAGCTTCACTGTTTAATAACAGCTCTGTGGCCCATGGCAACCTACTTGATATCCAAAAATCTTCAATTTCCTCATTTATAAAATGTAGCTCATACCCCATATAACAGTGGTTGAGGATTAAATATTAGAGAAAATGTATATATCCAATCATAATTATAACTAGCAGTCTCACAGCTACTCCACGGTGTGAGATTTTCTAAAAGTAATTATCTAGAATCTGAGACTACTTTTGACTAAAAAATATTTTCACTTAGCATAGAAGTAGCTATCATTTTTCTTCTGTGAACAGGTAACTCTACTTGAATATGTCTATAGTCCCTCAAGAAGCACATGCTCTATCCACAGGGCAGGCAATGCGCAAGACGGAGAGTGCAGTGGTGAGCACAGCAGAGACGGTCACGGCCCTTTGGGGCTCACCATTTAGCTGCCAAATCAGACAGCCATGTAGGCACAAACAAAATGTATCAGACCTGGACTGATAACTACGGCATTATTATAACAAAGAAATATGCGTAAAAGGCCATCTATTTACATGCAAGAATTAGTCTTGGTCTGTCAAGACTCACAAGTTTGTATACAAGTTTCACCAGTAACTTTCTCTACACCAGACTGCAGCAGAAATTAAAAAGAAAGATTTGTAATGAGAGATTCCACAGGGCTAACAATTCCACGTATGAATTAACTATCTACAGGGGAATTTCTGTATTTTTTTCTCTAGCCTTCTGGTAAGTCAGTATTTCTTCTAAATATAAACTTTAAGTTATTGTTCATTGGTCCCAAATTGTCTGATTCCTAAATAGAACAATTTATACAATCATTTCATTGTGACTGCTTTAGCAACGTAAAATATTTTTGGAGCTAGTCATTTTCAAAATACATACTTTAAAGAATCACTTTCTAGATTTCCAAAAAATTAAATATTAATTAATAATCTTTACTCTTATTTTATATGAAGCAACCTAAAAATCTACCTAGCAATTTGCTGGAGTGATGAGATGTAAATTAAGAAACTACTAATTACTACTATGCATGACCCTAAACCCTACAGTGCCAGATGCAAAGCAGGTAAGCATGAGGCAAAAGCAATTTATCTGTTGCTCTCTTATAAACCACATTAGATTTTTACCCTCTTGAGTTATTTTCCATACCCATGGCACAGCTGGTGAAGCTAAATCGGGAACATTTTAAATTCTCAATTTAGTTTTCCTAATAAAAATTCAGAGTTATAACCTGCATGACCACAGATAAACACTACTGAAAGTGAAGCCAGCAAGCTGTTTGGTACATTTGATATATATTAATATCTGCACTCGACATAGTTGATTTGACATTATCTGATGGAGTTTAGGTTATAGGGAATAAAGTGGCATTATCTGATGAAGGTTAGGTTATAGGGAATCAAGTGGCAGAAGGTTTTTACTGATATGAATTGGGACACAGTTGACATGTTGTATACTTTGTGATAACCACTGCTACTTAAATATGGTTTCCTAGAAATGGTTACAGTACAAACTAGATTCAAAACATCTCAGTTTGTGACTTCATTCTGTGAACTACACAAAACAATTATCATATCTTCTTCCCTTCTATGATTCCAACAGAGATTCTACTATGTATTAATAAAGCTATAAATAACTTATCATGTGTAATCTTTATCCAGTCAGCATTTCAAAACATGAAACATTAGAATATTTCTTATTTGCCCCATTTGCTCAGAATATGGCATGAGCACTTAAAAAATATCCAGAATGACATATAGAAGCCTTATTTTTCTACATTTGTTTCTTTTTAGGCAGGTATTAAACGTGAACCAGATATGAGTGATTTTGCGACAGAAGCCCTTTCCATCTTATAGTAATGAAAATACAAAATAGATCAAAGAACAATGAAATTGGGTTAATTCTCTGAGGCCCCCCAGGACTGATCAGGTTCTTGTCTGGCCCCCAAAGAATTTATGCTCACTAAGTCAGGCTCTGGAAATCAAGCTCAAAATAGCATACTTGCAAAAGAAATTACAGTAAGTGAAATTAGAATGAGAGATTTATGAGGAATCAAAAGATCCATCAAATTGTAGTTAAAATACCCATGTTGCTCATCAGCAAAGGTTACTTCTAATAACACTGGGCAGCATATAATCCTGAGGACATGGAGAGGAAAATGTGTGCTGTAGGGTGTTTGTGTGCAAAGGCAGCCATACAGGCACCAGGGAAAGTCTGGAGAACAAAGGCATCGAGCTGGAGCAGACACAGAAGGCAAAGCCCAGGGTAATCTGGACCACTGCGCATAGAAAAAGGGCAGCCTCTACAGGATACACGGTCATGTTTACCTCAAGTTTAGCTCAGACCAGGAATACCTGCTTCCAAATCAAACATATCTAAAATGATTCCTTAGTTTCCCAAGCAGCAAGATAGAGTAGATTTGGGATGAGAAATCTAGGTTTTTAGAGGCTGGGCACAGTGGCTCACACCTATAATCCCAGCACTCTGGGAGGACAAGGTGGGTGAAATGCCTGAGCTCAAGAGTTTGAGACCAGCCTGAGAAAGAGTAAGACCTCATTTCTAAAATCAGCCAGGCACTGTGGTCCTGGGACCTGTCGTCCCAGCTACTCGAGAGGCTGAGGCAAAAGGATCACTTGAGCCCAGGAGTTTGAGGTTGTTGTGAGGTATAATACCACAGCACTACCCGGAGTGACATAGAGACTCTGTCTCAAAAGGAAAAAAAAGAAATCTAGGTTTTTAATCTCAGTTTTATCCCCTAGTAGCTAAGTGACCCTGAGGAATTTACTTCTTTAACCTAAGTAATGGGAACGATAATAAAAATAACAATTATTTTTATAGGGCTGGTATGAGGATTACCTGAAAGAGCACACATGAACGCATTTTGCAAACTATAAATTCTTCTACAAACATTAACAGCCCATAGAAAATCAGAAGTAAGTGAATTCCAATTAATGTGCACTCCCAACTCCCATAAATATACCAAAATCCATTCAATTCATAGAAATGAGAAACTTTCTATATGCATCACTTGGAAGCATTCCATGAACAAATAATAAGGCCTCTAAAATATTTGTTGGGTTGACTTGAGTGT